GTGTAGGTTAATACCACTTTAAAAAAAGTATTTGTGAGCATGCACCAAGGGTGAAAAACAAATATTTTCTTTCAGAGAGCATGTGTGTGTGTTTGCTCCAGGTTCCCTGGAGGCACTGCTACTCAGTGACCACATGAAACTGGTCATCGGACTCTGGCTACATAGGTTATGAATTCTCCCAGGGACTGGAGGTGGTCATAGCCTTTTAGGGAGTGTTTTTACTTTCCTTTTTCATCTTCTGAACCTCTCACTTCTGCATTCAGACTTTCCCATAAAATTTAGTTTGATTTAATAAATGCCTGCTGTCTTTTCAGCACTTTAATGGTAATTCTTTTAAAAGTTTTAATCTAGCTCTTTTTTCTGTTTTTTTGAGACAGGGTCTTGCTCTGTCGCCCAGGCTGAAGTGCAGTGGCTTGATTACAAATCCCTGCAACCTCTGCCTTCCAGGCTCAAGCAAGCCACCAGACAGGGCTAATTTCTGTATTTTTTGTAGAGATGGGGTGGGGGGATTCACTATGTTTCCCAGGCTGGATTCAAACTCCTGGGCTCAAGCAATCCTCCCACCTCAGCCTCCGAAAGTGCTGGGATTACAGGTGCGTCACCACACCTGGCCTAATCTAGCATTTCTAATTTTCTTAAATGGAAGAGGATGCTGTCAGCCACTTTAGAAAACCAAACTTTTTGTTTTACTGTTCAGTGAGATTGTCCTTAATTGTGGATCAAATTTTTATATTTTAGATTCTCCTATCATATCATTTATATGGTATCCTATTTGATCTTTCTGATTTTTTTCAAAACTGTGTTTCCAAAAAAAAAATGGTCAGAATTTGTGTAGACTTCCTTTATGCTACATTTAAGGATTACTCAGTGTGGTCTTCATGTTCATATTCCCAAGTAGTTCCTCCGTATTGATTAGAATTAAGTCCAAAACAGTAATACATCTCACTGCTGCCTCTGCCTTCTGAGAGACAATATTTTTCGGCAAATGTAGAAATATAAACATATAAATAAATAAGTAAATAGTGAATATCTGTAAGTAAACATCCAGCTTTTAGAAGAGACTCCCTGGTGAAAGCTGAATAATTAAAGATTTCACTACTATAACTTGCTTCTGTGCCATAATTCTTATTAAATGAGTCATCATCCATATATGCAACACCATGGTAGACTATACTCCTGCTTTGGCCCTCACCTTTAACATTTTTTTTTTCTTGCTTCGTCGCTCAGGCTGGAGTGTAGTGGCATGATCTCAGCTCACTGCAACCTCTGCCTCCAGGGTTCAAGCAATTCTCCTGCCTCAGCCTCTCAAGTAGCTAGGATTACAGGTGCCCACTACCATACCTGGCTAATTTTTGTATTTTTTAGTAGAGATGGGGTTTCACCATGTTGGTCAGGCTGGTCTTGAACTCCTGACCTCAGGTGATCGCCCACTGTGGCCTCCCAAAATGCTGGGATTACGGGCGTGAGCCACCATGCCTCACCGTACTTTCTTTATCCTCAATGCTCTCTTCTGTACTTCATTTTTTGTGTTAATTTTTGAAAATACAAGTCCCTACTTTAATATGCATTTGTCTGGGGCTCCCTTCATTGTGTACTTTAACTCTTCATTTAAATGATCAGTGCCAGCCCATAAAATCTCAGAGATGTTTCTGAGATTCTATTTACCATCCAGTATTAAGCTTCATATATTAATAACATGTAGAGGGAGGCCAAGGCAGGAGGATCACTTGAGCCCAGGAGTTTGAAACCAGCATGGGCAACATGGCAAAACCCCATCTCTACAAAAAAGTTAGCTGGGCATGGTGGCATACACCTGTAGTCCCACCTACTGGGGAGGCTAAGGTGGAAGAATCACTTGAGCGCAGGAGGCTGAGGCTTCAGTGAGCTGTAATCGTGCCATTGCACTTCAGCCTGGGTGACAGAGAACCTGAGAAGAAGAAGAAACAAGAAAGGAGAAGAAGAAAGAAGTAGAAAGGAGGAGGAGGAGAAGAAGAAGAAATGCAGATACTTGAGAGTGAAAGCAACATGTTTATTTTCTTCTTTGTAAATTTCTAGACACCACGCCTCACCTCCCCTTCCCACTGAACTTTAGTTGTCACACTTGTCATTCATAACATCTCATTTCACAGGTTTTTTCTGGTCTTTTGACTCAATTACTATCCAAGTCCTATTAATCATGTTGTTAATTAATTAATGAAATATCGCTAACATTTCTGGAATGTATGTTTCCTTTTCCCAGCTATTTGATATTTGTGACTATGGATCTTATAATATCCTCTATGGGGCCGGGCGCGGTGGCTCAAGCCTGTAATCCCAGCACTTTGGGAGGCTGAGGCGGGTGGATCATGAGGTCAAGAGATCGAGACCATCCTGGTCAACATGGTGAAACCCTGTCTCTACTAAAAATACAAAAAAAATAACTGGGCATGGTGGCGCGTGCCTGTAATCCCAGCTACTCAGGAGGCTGAGGCAGGAGAATTGCCTGAACCCAGGAGGCGGAGGTTGCGGTGAGCCAAGATGGCGCCATTGCACTCCAGCCTGGGTAACAAGAGCGAAACTCTGTCTCCAAAACAAAACAAAACAAAACAAAACAAAAATATATCATCTATGTAGCTAGTTTGTTCATTTTTCATATCCTCTTATCTTCTCTATAGTGATGACTTTCAATCGAAGCAGGGGAAAAAAATACAATATATATTCCCAAGGCTTTCTATTTCCTGCCCAAAAAGTCACTAGAAATACATTTCAGATTTCTTCTCTCACTCAGCCTACACCAAATCAATAGCTGTGGACCAGGGTTCACCTGCCTGATGTGATTTGTCCAGCATTTGGTTACAACACTGAAGAAAGCACAAGTAGTTATCAATATTTGTTGAGCAAGATCAGAACAATCACCCTTCAATATGAAGTCAGTACAAATCAGAAAACAGAATTAACCCTTTCACACACACGCTCTCCAAAAGATGCTTTGAAAATTACATTTAATGAGACTAGATGTTTGTCTTCAGGGAAATCTCATTGCTGTTTCTTATTAAGAAAAAATGGGCTGGGAGCGGTGGCTCACACCTGTAATCCCAGCACTTTGGGAGGCCGAGGCAGGTGGATCACGAGGTCAAGAGATCGAGACCATCCTGGTCAACATGGTGAAACCCCATCTCTACTAAAAATACAAAAAATTAGCTGGGCATGGTGGCACGTGCCTGTAATCCCAGCTACTCAGGAGGCTGAGGCAGGAGAATTGCCTGAACCCAGGAGGCGGAGGTTGTGGTGAGCCGAGATCACGCCATTGCACTCCAGCCTGGGTAACAAGAGCAAAACTCTGTCCGAAAAAAAAAAAAAGAAAAAAATGTAACTAAGATGAAAACACATTCATATTATTTAAATGCCATCATAACTGAAGCACGGTGATTTATGTGAAATCTGGAAAATGGTGTCTCTCAGAGACTGGGTAACTAATAAATCACTGAGAATACCTGAGACTGGGTAACTGATAAAGAATAGAAGTTCATTCTCCTACAGTTCTGGAGGCTGGAAAGTCCAAGACCAAGATGCCAGCATGTTAGGGCCCAGTCTCTCTGCTTCCAAAGCTGTATCTTGAATGCCGCATTCTCTGGAGGGGAGAAACACCATTACTCACATGACAGAAGAGGGAGAACCCACTCTCACAAGCCCTTTTTATGGTGGCGTTAATCCTAAACACCTCCCATTAGGCCCCACCTCCCAACACTGTTTGTTACATTGGAGATTAAGTTTCAACATGGGTTTTGGAGAGGATAAAAATAATCAAACTACACCAAATGAAAAACCAGTATTAAGAGGATAGGATATACTCATTCTTATGTTTAATGTGGGTGAATAAAATGAACAAAGATGTAGCTACCAAATTTTATTAAAACATATCCTAAAACATAAAATGTTCCTCAACAATATTTTTTCTTCAGTTTTATTGCTATAACTGACATGCCATAAACTGCCCATATTTAAAGTATACAATTTGATGAGTCTGACATGTATACATCTGTGAAGCCATCACTACAATCCAAATAATGCACATACCAATCAACTGTATAGGCTTTCTCATGCCACTTCGTAATCCCTCCTCCCACCCATACTTCCCCTGGCTCCTGACCCCAGGCAATCACTGATCTGTGTCTGTCATCATAGACTATAATTCCGCTTATATAAAATGCTAGAAGAGAAAAACTAAAGCATTTATACTTTTTGGCCTGGCTTCTTTCACTCAGCATAATTATTCTGAGATTCATCCATACTATGTGTTGTCATCAGTGCTTCACTTCTTTTTCTTCTTTTTTCTTTTCTTTTGAGACAGGTCTATCTCTGTTGCTCAGGCTGGAATGCAGTGGCATGATCATGGCTCACTGCAGCCTTGAACTCCAGGCTCAAGCAATCTTCCCACCTTACCCTCGAGTTGCTGGGACTCCAGGCACATGCCACCATACCCAGCTAACTACTTTGTTTTTTTGTACACATGGGGTCTCCCTATGTTGTCCAGGTTGGTCTCAAACTCCTGGCCTCAAGCAATCCTTCTGCCTCAGCCTCCCAAAGTCCTGGGATTACAGGTGTGAGCCACTACACCAGGCCCACGCCATTCCTTTTTATTACTGAGGAGTACTCTATTCTGTGCATACCTCTCAATTTGTTTACTCAAGCTTTTGATTTATAATTTAGCCTCCTTTAATCAGCTTATGCCCTTTTATAAAAAGGCTTCCACAAATTCTGCTGTGAGCGGAACTATTGATCAAATCACATTTTTGACACCACAAAGCTGAAGGCAGACCTGGGACAAATGGAAGGAGAGGAGGCTCCTGGGAGCTCAGTTTCTCCTGTGGCTAAACACCATCTTCCAATCACAACAGCCAGGAATTGAGAATCTTTCATTTCAGCTGTAAAGGAATGTATGTGCAAAATGTCCTGATTCATGATGATTGAAGGAAAGACCATTTCTCTTTTCCCCAAACCCAATCTCTTTGTCACTTCAGACCCCTAAGGGAGCCTGTGCAATATCGGTGAAGGTTGCTATCGACATAGGGTACCGACACTTTGATGGGGCCTACGTCTACAAAAATGAACATGAAGTTGGGGAGGCCATCAGGGAGAAGATAGCAGAAGGCAAGGTGCAGAGGGAAGACATCTTCTACTGTGGAAAGGTGAGATCTTGCCTTCAGTCTCCACTGGGGACAGTGAGGAGGTTTCAGGTGTTCATTTTATTTTTCATCTTCCGTGTGTGCGTGTTTGTGTGTGTGTGTGTGTGTGTGTGTGTGTGTGTGTGTGGATGGGTAGGTGGGTGGGTGTGTGAGTGTAACTGCACTCATGAGTATGCAGGACTCCATAATAACAGTTTGAGTTTGTTTGTGTAAAAGATAAGTGTTAAAATGACACCAAAATCATGCAAAATAGGATTTTCAACATTCTTGTATTATATTAACAAAGTATTCATTAGTTTCGGAGAAGTAAGCAGAGTAGCATTTCAGGAAGAGAAAGAGTTTTCAAAAAGTATTTGGCTGGGTGCAGTGTCTCACACCTGTAAGCCCAGTGCTTTGGGAGTCTAAGGCGGGTGTTTTGCTTGAGCTAAAGAGTTCAAGACCAACCTGGGTAACACGGCAAAACCCTGTCTCTACAAAAAATAAAAAATTAGCTAGGCACAGTAGCTTGCACCTGTAGTCCCAGCTACTTGGGAGGCTGAGATGGGAGGATGGCCTGAGCCAGGGAGGTCGAGGCTGCAATAAGTCATGTTCACATCACCGCACTCCGGCTTGGGTGACAGAGTAAGACCCTATCTCAAAAAAAGGAAAAAAAATTTTTGAGCAGACGTAATTAACTCAGGAATGATATTCATTTTTGGAACCAATAGATATTGTTTAATAAAAGCAAACAAACATAAATCAAAAAAACAAGCTCTTAAAGTCGCCAATCCAAAAGCCGCATGACTCATATTACACGAGTCATTTTTCACTATAATAGAATTAGCATGCAAGAAAAAGGTAGTCAAAACATGCTTTAAATTGTCCTTTAATTCTTTAAATTGTCCAAAAAGTACAGTTGTGAAGAGAAATCAATATTCATACATATATAATGTCAATATGGGCTGTATCTAATAAAGCACACTTGGTAAAAATATTAGTGCTTACTATTTTATTATTTATTTATTTTGTGAGACCGCATCTCACTCTGTTGCCTGGGCTGGAGTGCAGTGGCATGATCTTGGCTCACTACAACTTCCACCTGCCGGGTTCAAGAGATTCTCCTGCCTTAGCCTCCCGAGTAGCTGGGGCTACAGGCGTGCACCACCATGCCTGTCTAATTTTGTATTTTTAGTAGAGACAGGGTTTCACTATCTTGGCCAAGCTGCTCTTGAACTTCTGACCTCGTGATCCACCCATCTCGGCCTCCCAAAGTGCTGGGATTACAGGTGTGTGCCACCACACCCAGCTTAGTGTTTACTTAAGTAAACAGAAAGAGTGTGTGCAACTGAGTTCATGTAATGAGCAGTTACTATCCCCTTATCAGGATTGTTTTCACCGAAGCTCAGCAGCAGCTGAGGGGTAATATGGGGGCGATTAAGTGCACAGACTGGTGTAAGGCTGCCCAGGTCAGAAGCCCAGATCTGTCACTATTGGCTAAGTTCCCTAGTATTTCTGGACCTCAGTTTTTCTCTCTGTAAAATGGGGATAATAATGTCAACTATTTCATACAGTTGTTATGAGTTCACATTTACAAAGCGCTCATATAGAACCTGGCACAGAGCTAATATTATGTGTGTTTGTTGAATAAAAGTAAATTAAAATATCTTCAGGAATGAAAAAAAAGTAAAAATAGCAAACAGAATTTCCACTTACATAGGATTGCAACAGTAACAGCAAAGGGACTCACAGTAGCAATCAAAACCCATGTAACACATTTTTCCATTACTGTCTTCATGTTAAATTTTCTCTGTGTTTTTAAGTCAAGAAAAAAAATCATTGTCCAACAGAGAAAAAAAAAAAAATCAGATTTTACCAATTTTGCTCACCCTGTCTTGTGACCAAAAAACAGTATGATTCAGGCCGGGTGCAGTGGCTCACGCCTGTAATCCCAACACTTTGGAAGGCAGAGACAGGAGGATCACTTGAGGTCAGAGGTTCATGACCAGCCTGGTCAACATGGTGAAACCCCATCTCTACTAAAAATACAAAAATCAGCCAGGCATAGTGCCAGGTGCCTGTTGTCCCAGCCACTTGGGAGGCTGAGGCAGGAGAATCACTTGAACCCAGGAGGTGGAGGTTGCAGTGAGCTGAGATCAAGCCACTGTGCTCCAGCCTGGGTGACAGACCAAAACTCTGTCTCAAAAAAAAGAAAAGAAAAAGAGAAGAAGAGAGGGGAGGGGAGGGGAGGGGAGGGGAAGGGAAGGGAGGGAGGGGAAGGAGGGAGGAAAGGATTCTAAACTTTTATCCCCAAAAACATCTGTGAGCAAAACTGATATTCCAAACAACAGACTAATTTGTCCTGTGGGTATGAGCAACCTTGGCACCATATGTCTCAGATCCCTAAGGGTACACAAGCTCCAGTAGGATCAACCAAGCCTTGATCCTTCATTACGTAATACCTTAGTGAAAGAGTCATTTCTTAGAAATTGCTCTGGGGTCTAAGTAGGGCCAAGCAGGAACAAAAGATCAGTGAAAGCAAATCTAAATCTATGTACTACTTTAAAATGTCGCCAGCCTTCCACACCACCTGTCACAATGTGAAGGACCCAGTGAAGCCACACACATTAACCATATTCCTTGCTCATCTGAAACACATCTTTTATCAGAGTGGCATGACAATAAAGAATCTGGCTAGGTCAGGACATTTAGAACATTGTGTAACCCTAGTCATACGATGATGAATAATGCAAGCATTAAGGGTTGGTTAGGAAATTCACCCGGAAATAGGGAAGACTGCCATCAAATTAGGTACCGTGTGGTCAAGAGGATCTCTGAGTCTCTTGCACTACATTTGAATAAAATTATGTCTGGGGATGTGAGGGTGATCTGGCTGCGACATCTGTCACCCCACTCATCACCAGGGCTAATTCAGCTGATCTGGCTGTCTAGGCAATTGTACCTCTCGAAGCTGCACTCTCATTGGAAGAGGACGACTTTCCCTGGTGGAGGATGAGGGTTTTCAGATCAAGGGTATATGAGTAGCTGCACTCTTCTGCTACAACCTCCAAACAAGCTCTCAAGCTAGGCTCTGAGTGTCAAAAGTTTTATCAGCTCATCCTATACTCAGATGACTCTGCATCATAAACACATTTTGGTGACATAAAACATGTGCATAATATGCGTACAAGGGGCCAGGTGCAGTGGCTGATGCCTGGAATCCCAGCGCTTTGGGAGGCCGAGTGGATGGATCGCTTGAGCCTAGGAGTACAGCCTGGGCAACATAGTGAGATCCCTATCTCAAAAAAAAAAAAATGTGTATAAGTGCTCTACAAAGAAAAATGTTTACAAGATTGTAAAAATCACGTGGACATTAGTTAATTATCCTTCTTTGATTCTTTTAGCTATGGGCTACAAATCATGTCCCAGAGATGGTCCGCCCATCTCTGGAGAGGACACTCAGGGTCCTCCAGCTAGATTACGTGGATCTTTACATCATTGAATTACCCATGGCCTTTAAGGTGAGTTCAGATGCCTAAAGGTTAGGTCTCGGCAGCCTGACAACCATGAGTCAATAGCTATGTGTATGAATCTAGCTTATTATTTAGCACCACAGAGTATTGTGGGGTTTTGTTACCACAGATCAGAGAGTACTGCCCTAGCCTGACAAATGCCTGAGAAGATTGTGTTAACAGACTCAGGCTTGGTTTTAAAATTTCTTGACTTTGTTTAACTCCATGCAATTTCTATTATACCATGTTTTTACAACTATAGTTTAAGCTCTCTGCATCAAACCAACATGTAGTCCCCTGTAGCCCGGCATCAAGACACACACCCTTCTTCCCACTCACACACTCACCATCTCAGCCCTTATTCTCACTTTGTTAATGTTGACTCTTGTTCAAACGTCAGATTTCCAACCTAAGTCTTAAAAATTTGGAAAGACCCAGCGTACATGTGTTGCTTAGCAACGGGATGCATTCTGAGAAATGCGTCATTAGGCAACTCCGCTGTTCTGCAAACATCATATAGAGTGTCCTTACACAACCCTAGGTGGTAAGGTTTCATTTACCACGGTGGATGGTACTACTCTTGTAATAACATGAATCAAACACAAGCACATTGGGCCTAGATGGTGTAGCCTATGACAGACTTAGGCTAGATAGCCCAGCTGGCTGCCCCTGCGCTATAAACCTGCACAGCATGTTACTATTCTGAATACCACAGGCAATTGTTACACAATGGTAAATATTTGTGTATATATACATATCTAAACACAGAAAAGGTACAGTAAAAATATGCCATAAAAGATATGATACACCTATGCCTGGCACTTACCATGAATGGACCTTGCAGGATTAGAAATTAGGTGAGTCAGGGAGGGAGGGGTGAGTGAATGTGAAGGCCTAGGTCATTACTGTACATGAATGAAGACTTTATAAACACCGCACACTTAGGATACACTAAATTAATCAAAGCATACCTTTCCTTTGATAATAAATTAACATTAGCTTATTGCAACTTTTTGCCTTATAAACGTTTTAATTTTTTAACTTTTTGATTCTTTGTAATGATTACAAATGAATGTATTTAAAGTCAGAAAATAAAATTTACTTTTCTGTGACTAATAACATTTACATCCTTTTGAAAAAGATAATTTCTATTCTTATTTTTGATGGGATCAAGGGCACAGAAGGTAAAACTTCAACAGTAAGAAATGACACAATATAGTGACATTACCTCCCAATTGAACCTATAATTGGGAAATCAATATTTGAAGCTAAAGTATGACATGCTTTTGGTGTTTGGTTGTGGTAGGGTCAGCAGGACGCAGTGGCTCATACTTGTAGTCCCAGTACTTTGGAAGGCCGAGGCTGGCAGATCCCTTGATCCCAGGAGTTTGAGACAAGACTGGGCAACATTGCAAAACCCCTCTCTACAAAAAATACAAAAAAATTAGCCAGTGGCATGTGCCTGTAGTCTCAGCTACTTGGGAGACTAAGGCAGGAGGATCGCTTGAGCTGGGGAGGTTGCAGGTACAGTGAGCCAAGACTGTGCCACTGCACTCCAGCCTGGGTGACAGAGAAAGACCCTGTCTCAAAAAAAAGTAAGAAAGAATAAAGAAAAGAGAGAGAGAGATCGAGGGATCATGCCACCTCATTCCAGCCTGGGAGGCAGAATGAGACCTTGTCTCAAAAAAAACAAACAGAAAACTACAACAGAAAAAGAACGCTATGATTCAGAAACAGTTCCTTTTAAAGGAAAAAACTAAGAATGCCTGACACTGGGTGATAGATAATAAATAGAAATGTATTGGCTGAGAGTTCTGGAGGCTGGAGAGTTCAAGACCAAAGTGCCAGCACCTCACAAGGGCCTTCTTGCTACGTCACCACATGATGGAAAGGGAAAGAGCAAAGAGCACAAGAGAGCACCCCTCCTCGCCTGAGCCCTTTTGACAATGCCATGAATCCATCACTTAACAACTCCCATTAAGCCCCACCTCCCGACACAGTTGCACTGAGGATTAAGTTTCCAACACGTGAATTCTGGGGGATACATTGAGACCACAGCAATTCCCAACAAGAAAATTTCTATTATCAAAGTCAACAAAGACTTTCATACTACCAAATTCAATAGACATTTTGCCCTATTATTTCATCTCTTTCAATACAGTTGACTACCACCTCCTGCCATAAACATTTTCTTCTCATGGGGTTTGTGATATCTCATGACCCTCTCATGATCTGTGGCAGCGTATTCTGCTGCCTAGCCTCCAAATGTTGTTATGCCCAGTCCGCTGCCCTCAATATTCTTGTCTTACTAGCTACACACTCTCTATAGGTGACTTAATCCAATCATGTGGATTTAAGACCATTTTACATGCTAATGTCACCCAAATTCTGTCTGTAACTATGAACTCTCTCTGAGCTCCTGACTTCTCTGTTCAGCTGTCTCCTTCAATATCCACTTGAATGTCTGGTGGGCATTTCAGAGTCAAAATATCCAAAATGAGGGGCCTGGTGCAGTGGCTCACGCCTATAATCTCAGCATTTTGGGAGGCCAAGGCGGGCAGATCATGAGGTCAGAAGTTCGAGACCAGCGTGACCAACATGATAAAACCCGTCTCTAAAAGTACAAAAAAATTAGCTGGGTGTGGTGGTGCATGCCTGCAATCCTACCTACTCTGGAGGCTGAGGCAGGAGAATCACTTGAACCTGGGAGGCAGAGGTTGCAGTGAGCTGAGATTGCACCACTTCACTCCAGCCTGGGTGACAGAGTGAGATTCCATCTCAAAAGAAAAAAAAAAAATCCAAAATGATGTTCCAGATTCCTAGCCCCAACCTCAGGAAATGCTTACCACTACCCACCCAAGGGGTCTAGGAATCATCTTTGATTCTTTCATGTCTCACTCCCACCACGCCGCCTCATTTCCAAGTCAACGTGAAGGTGTGCTGGTTCCGCTTCTCGTCTGTGTGCTAATCTGTCTCCTTCTTTTCCTCTCTACTGCAGCTGCCCCAGTCCAGGGCACCGTCAGTTGCAATAGCGCCTTAGGTTGAGTTCCTCAGAAGCAAACTCTGAGATGAAGAGACTGTATGCAAGAGTGATTTGGTTTGAAGTATAACCAGGGAAACTGATAAGGGAGTGGGGAAATGTGGCTGAAAAAATAAGAGGTTACGCAGATGGGAGGTAGAAAGCAGAATCCTACAGAGAGCAACTTGGGCTGAATGCCATAGAAAGCTCTGGAGACAAAGTTGTTCACATCTCAGAATTACATAGCCAAGAGGCAAAGTAACAAATATTGATACTTGCAACTTTAGCTCAAAGGCTGCCCCAGTGTGGGGAGCAGGGTGTAAATTCCTGGGGACATCTAATTGAGTAGGTACACAAGTCCCAGGAGCCTGAGCTCTGTCTGCTAACAGATGCAGGTGTCAGCTGTACAGAGTGAGAGGACAGTGCTCACGGAACAGGTACAGGTATCCCAGCGGGCATGGGCAGGTGTCTCAATCCAGTTGGGCTGCTACAACAAAATACGTTAGACTGGGTGAGTTCCAAACAATAGACATTTATTGCTCACAATTATAAAGGCTGGGAAGTCCCAATTCTATCATTTTAATTCCCAGATATAAATAAAATGAATTACGTTTATTCTTTTTTTTTTTTTTTCAGCCAGGAGATGAAGTATACCCTAGAGATGAGAATGGCAACTGGTTATATCACAAGTCAAATCTGTGTGCCACTTGGGAAGTAAGTTCAAACGCGCTTCTGATTTTAAAAGATTACATTTTAAAAACTGTGATCTGATTATTGCTGTCAGATTTATGGAGAGAGATGCACCCTTTACTTCTAATGAAAAGTAACAGAACAGGCATTTCTAATCCTAAGTAGAGGTATATGAAATCTCCACTTCTGGGTGCTAAATAATTCTTACTTTTGTTTTTCTGCAATGCCAAAGAAAAGAGAGAGGTGTGGAAGGAAAAACAGTGTAAATGAAATATGTTCTAATATAAAAGTAATTAAAATATATGAATGAGATAAACTCATAAATTAAAAAATAAATCTTAAATTGTTAATATGATGCCTAAAAGAAACAAACTTAAAATGATACATAAAAAAACTGGAAAACAGGCCAGTTGCAGTGGCTCACGCCTATAATCCCAGCACTTTGGGAAGCCAAGGTGAGCCGATCACCTGAGGTCAGGAGTTCAAGACCAGCCTGGCCAACATGGTAAAACTCCGTCTCCACTAAAAACGCAAAAACTAGCCAGGTGTGATTGGCCATGCCTATAACCCTGGCTACTCAGGAGGCTCAGGAAGGAGAATTGCTTGAATCTGGGAGGGAGAAGTTGCTGTGCATCGAGATTATGCCACTGCACCGTAGCCTGAGCGACAGAGCAAGATGATTCTGTGTCAAAAACAATTTTGTTTTGTTTTTGTTTTTTTTTTATTTCTGGGCAACCTGTTGGCTCTTTTCCCAGGATCACAAGAGTAGACAACCATAGGAAACAATTAAACTCTTATGGATTCATGGCAGGGCAGGATATTTTGAACTTATTTTCTTAGCGGTGGTGTGGCAGCTCTGACCTAGAGTAGAAGGCAACTCAACAAGCAGAAAGAAGATAATACAGGAGAGGAATGGTTGGTCTTTTTGCATTTCCTTCACCCCTGCCATAGCCTGAGAACAAATATTGCCACAGAGGTGGAAACTCAGGACTCATTCAGGTGTTTTCAGGAATCAAAGCAGAGCAGCCTTGAAATTCTGCACTTGTGAAAAGCTGAAGAAAAATGTGAGTTACCACCTAACCTCTGGCAGTTTTTTTCCCACCGATCCTATTCCAAACTCCAAACGCCTGGAAATTACACCCTGGAAAATACCTCTTTCTATATACTTGCCTCTGAAGTGACAGCTGAAGGTCTGAGCTGTGGACTTGTTTAGAGGGGTGAGGAGGAATGATTTGTTTTCCAGTGCCCGGGACTCTGTCCAAAAGAACACACAGTCGCTCCTGACCTCATTGGAGCCAATCAGGTTTGGACATTTTGAACATTCTCCTCTAAGAGACTGCCTAAGAGGACAGCCAGTATCCCCAGGAAAAAAAATGAGTTCACCACCCAAAGTAACAAGGCATTTGTTTCACAAGAAGACAAATGCATCTCAATTATTGATTCCAACATGAACAGAACAGAGAACCAGGATCTTCTAAAATTAACCAGTTAAGATATTAGAGAACATAAGAAAAGATATTAGCAATACGAAACTTGAACAAATAACTTTTTAAAACAAAAATAATAATTAAACAAATAAAAATACAATGCAATAGGTTGGGATATATAGAAGAAAATGGTCAAATTGAGATATCAGAATGAGGAAATTGCTCAATATGAAGAAGAAAAGAACAAGAAGCTTTTTTAGATATGAAGAAAAAGCTAAGAAATTCAAAGAATAAAATGAGAATTTTCCAATCCACACAACTGGAGTCTAAGGAAAAAGAAGAAAAGGGGAAAGAAAACAAGAAGCTGCGCACAGCGGCTCATGCCTGTGATCCCGGTGCTGTGGGAGACCGATGCGGGAGGATCACTTGAGCCCGGGAGTTCAAGACCAGCCTGGGGAACACAGTGAGACCCCATCTTTACAAAAAAGGAAAGAGGTAATAGTTGAAGAAACACACACACACACACACACACACACACACACACACACACACACACAGATCTTAAAGGGATCATGGAGCACAAAAGAGGAAAGACAGGGAATGTCACGGGTGAGGTGGCATACACCTGTAGTCCCAGCTACTTGGAATTCTGAGGTGGGAGGACCACTTGAGGCCAGGAGTTCAAAGCCACAGTGTGCTCTAGTCATGCCTGTGAATGGCCACTGAACTCTAGCCTGGGCAACATAGCGGGATTTTGTCTCAAAAAAAAAAGAAAAAAATCTAACATTAAAAAAATGTTAAAACTTCGAGAGCATAAAAAATAAGCCAATAAAAGAGGCAAAATGGAATAACAAAAATAATCCAAGACAAAGCAGAAAAAAAAAGAGGGGCAATAAATAGATGAGAAAAATAGCAAACAAAGGGCAAGATGGGAGATTTAAACTCACTAATATCAATTATCACAGTATATATAAATGGTCTTAGCGCCCCAATTAAAAGGCGTAGATTGTTAGAATGGATACAAACCAAATCCCATTATATAGTATAAACAAGAAATTCATCTTAAATAAAAGTCACCTAGTCACCTACAGGTTAAAAGCAAAAGCCTTTTCAAAAAGCAAAAGGGTAGAAGAAGATATATTAAGCTAACACTAGTAAAAATAAAGCTGGAGTTGCTATTTTAATATCAACGAATACTTCAGAGCAATGAGGATTACCAGGGATAAAGAAGATTATTATATAATGATAAAGGAGTCAATCATGTACATCTATGCCCCTAACAACAGAGCTTCAAAGGACATGAACTATGAACTAAGAGAACTGAACAGAGAAAGAGAATAATCCACATTTATAGTCAGATATTCTATTAAAAGGATATCATATTTAAATGATAAATATACAGAAAGCCCTATAGGATAGGAGATTTAAACATTGTGAAACTTCTTTATCTAATGAACATTTATAGAACACTTCCCCCAAAGTATGAGCGTTATTTTTAAATTGCACATGAAACATTTAACAACATAGGCCATTTTTTGAGACATAACATAAATCTGAGTAAGTCCTCAAGTATTTTAATTATGCAAGATATGCTGTCTGATCAAATGAAAGGCACAGATGTAAATAACTCATAGACCTAAAAAAATTAAAATATTTATATAGATGTAATTTATACATTAGCAACACAAGACTGAAAATTATTTTTAAAAACAATATTAAACATTAAATATTCAGAGATAAATCTAAAAAAATATGTGCAAGAGCTATACAGTAAAAACTACAACTAATTACTGAAAGAAATCAAAGATGATCCGAAATTCAATGGAAAGATATACCATGTCCCTTGATCAGAATACTCAAGATGTTAATTCTCCCCAAATTCATCTTTAGATTCAATATAATCCCAGTCAAAATCTCAGGTAATTCCGAAATGTATATGGTGCCTGGTGCAATGGCTTAGGCCTGTAATCCCAGCACTTTGGGAGGCCAAGGCAGGTGGATCACATGAGGCTAGGAGTTCAAGACCAGCCTCAGAAACATGGCAAAACCCTGTCTCCACCAAAAATACAAAACTTAGCCAGGCGTGGTGGTGCCCATCTGCAATCCCAGCTACTTGGGAGGCTGAGGCATAAGAATCGCTTGAACCTGAGAGGCGGAGGTTGCAGTGATCTGAGATTCTACCACTGCACTCCAGCCTGGGCAACAGAGTGAGATTCTGTCTCAAAAATAAATAAATAAAATAAAATAATATTTATATGGAAGTACAAATAAACCTACAACAGCCACAACTTTTTGAAAAAGAGCAATAGCCGAGCAGTGGCTCATACCTGTAGTCCCCGCACTTTGAGAGGCTGAGGCAGGAGGATCACTTGAGCCTAGGAGTTCGAGACCAGCAAGGGGAACAGTGAGATCCCGTATGTACAAAAACATAAAACAATTAGCCGGGCATGAGGGTGGCATGTGCCTGTGGTCCCAGCTATTCAGGAGGCTGAGGTAGGAGGATCACTTGACCTGGTAGGTTGAGGTTGCAATGAGCTATGCCACTGCAGTTGAGCATCAGTGACTGAGCAAGACTCCATCTCAAAAACAAAAAGCAATAAATTTGGAGAAATTATGCCAATTTTTTTTTTTTTGAGACAGAGTTTCATTCTTGTTGTCCAGGCTGGAGTGCAATGGCACCATCTCGGCTCACCGCAACCTCCGCCTCCCAGGTTGAAGTGATTATCCTGCCTCAGCCTCCCAAGTAGATAGGATTATAAGCACGTGCCACCACACCTGGTTATTTTTTTTCATATTAGTAGAGACAGAATGTCATCATGTTGGTCAAGCTGGTCTTGAACTCCTGACCTCAGGTGATCTGCCCACCTCGGCCTCCCAAAGTGCTGGGATTACAGGTGTGAGCCACAGCGCCTGGCCAATTTATACTAATTTCAAGAATTATTATACGACTATTGAAATTATGACAATGCCATATTAGCATAAAGAGGAACATATAGATCAATGAAACATAAGAGAGTATGTTAAAATAGACCCATACACATATATGGTCAGTTGATTTTCAGCTGAAATGCCAAGGTAATTCATTGCGGGAGGGATAATCTTGTATGAAAACTGGCTCATATCAGCTTGCAAGAACCTGTTTGCATGCCGGGCGCGGTGGCTCAAGCCTGTAATCCCAGCACTTTGGGAGGCCGAGGCGGATGGATCACGAGGTCAAGAGATCGAGACCCAACATGGTGAAACCCCATCTCTACTAAAAATACCAAAAATTAGCTGGGCATGGTGGCGCTTGCCTGTAATCCCAGCTACTCAGGAGGCTGAGGCAGGAGAATTGCCTGAACCCAGAAGGCGGAGGTTGCGGTGAGCCGAATCGCGCCATTGCACTCCAGCCTGGGTAACAAGAGCGAAATTCCGTCTCAAAAAAAAAAAAAAAAAAAAAAAACCGTTTGCAAACCTCTTCCTCACTCCACATTCAGTGATGTCAGGTTGTTAGCTTGAGTGTAGCCTGGTGTGAATAGTTACATCACAGACATTGACAAATGCTACAAACTGGGAAACTTTTTTCTCCCTGGATAACTGGTTGTTAAACATTTATCAGTATTCCACTGGAGGTGTTCATGATCTTGATTGTGATGATTTTACTGGGTATGCATACATTAAAATTCCTCAAAATGTACACTTCAAAAATGTGTAGTTTATTTCACATCAATTATAACTCACCAAACTATAAGGCAAAAATGATGCATGATAAAAAGTTCCACATTTATGCATGCTCAGAAATTTTGCCTCATAAAGACAGACACTGGAAATTGTTAGGTCTGATGAATGTACTAAGTAAAAGGAACAAAAATCTAACAGATGCTCTAAAAAATGTATGAAGTGAAAGTGATCAAAGTATGCATTATCTATAAAAATCTTTAAGATCAAATAATAAAAGGAAAATGAACTTAATACATTAAAATTAAAGCTTATATATATACTATTAGCATACAGATGTTGAGGGGAGATCAAGGAATGCATAAACATGCTAAGTTATTGTCTTTATTAGAGAACTTCTTATAACTAATAAAGACTTAAAAAGAAACGAGTAAGTGGTATAAACTGAAATAAATCAAGATGGTAGAAACGTCTAAATATATGTATGGTTGCAATAAATGTAGATAAATTAAACTCACCTAGACAGAGATTGACAATTTAAAAGGAGACACCTAAGCATAAAGACATGTGAAAGTTAAAACTTTACAGAAAAAAAGTCAAATGCCAGAAAAAGTTGGTATTACTATATTAATATCATATGACAGACTTAAAAATTAAAAGCATTATTAGGGACAGAAAAGGTTGTATACAAGGATGAAAGATTGAATTTAACAAAAAGATATACTAATTTTAAGCATACATGTACCAAATATCTTCAAAACATAGAGAACAAAAAATTGACAGAATATAGGAGGACACTGGCCAAGACTGGTAGCTCATGCCTGTCATCCTAGCACTTTGGGAGGCCAGGGTGGGAGGATCGCTTGAGGCCGGGAGTTTGAAATCAACCTGGGCAACATAGTGAAACCCCTCATCTCTAAAAAAAATGTAGGCAGTGTGTTTGCACATGCTTGTAACCCAGCTACTCAAGAGTCTGAGAAGGGAGGATCTCTTAAGCCCAGAAGTCAAGACTGCAGTGAGCCAAGATCCCACCACAGCACTCCAGCCTGGCTGACAGAGCAAGATATTGTTTCAAACACACACACACACACACACACACACACACACACACACAGAGGCAGGAGAACATTGATAAATCACCAGTATAGTAGGAGATTTTCACATATTCCTTTCAGTTTTTGACATATTCTTTCTGTTAATTTTGACATATTAATTTCAGTTACTGAGAAGCCTAGAAGAGTTAGACCTAATTTTATAGACAACATGTGTGTATATATATTTACATATATATATGCATGAGAGAGAGAAGAGGGACAGTGTTACATCCAAAAATGGGAGCATATAGCTACTTCATATATACCAGAATGTTTATAACAATTGCTGGCCGGGCATGGTGACTCATGCCTGTAATCCCAGAAATCTAGGAGGCTGAGGCAGATGGATCACTTGAGGTCAGGAGTTTGAGACCAGCCTGGCCAACATGGTGAAATCCTATCTCTACTAAAATTTCAAAATTAGCTGGGTGTGGTGGCAGGTGCCTGTAATCCCAGCTACTTGTGACTGAGGCAGGAAAATCACTTGAACCCGGGAGGCAGAGGTTGCAGTGAGCTGAGATCGCAACATGGCATTTTAGCCTGGGCAACAAGAGCGAAACTCTGTCACACACACACACACACACACACACACACACACATGTGTGTGCGCCCAGGTACTATGGCATAAAGAATCAAAACATTTCAAGAAATAGAATCATTTTTTTAAAATGTTTTTGAGACACAGTCTCACTCTGTTGCTCAGGCTGGAGTGCAGTGACAGTTGTAACTCACTGCAGCCTCAGTTTACCCAGCTCAAGTGGATCCTCCCACTTCAGCCTCCTAAGTAGCTGGGACAACAGGCATGCGCCACCATGCCTGGTTAATTTTTGATTTTTAGTAGAGACAGGGTTTCACTATGCCTCGGCCTGCCAAAGTGTTGGGATTACAGGTGTGAGCCTGAGATCACTAATGTGCTGATAAATACCTTGAGAAAATACAAGGAAAAGATAGGGCATACAAATATTTTCCAAACTCAGTCATAGAATTATTGCCTTTTCCCACCGTCCCTCTTTTACTTTTTTCACAGGATGCTTATTAACATACCCAGGAACTTTCCTTTTTAAAGAATTCACCGTCACCCTTCTAAAAATTCATTCTTGCTTCTTGCGAGGCTTGTTTCTTGACCTGTTGACATTTACTCTACAGGCTATGGAAGCTTGCAAAGATGCTGGCTTGGTGAAATCCCTGGGAGTGTCCAATTTTAACCGCAGGCAACTGGAGCTCATCCTGAACAAGCCAGGACTCAAACACAAGCCAGTCAGCAACCAGGTACAGCCTAATAGCTTCCACTGGGGTGTGGGGAGTGGGGGCAGGACTTACTAACACCAAGAAGCCTCAGCCGGGAGTCGGGAAGGCTCAGGATTGCTCCACCTAAATCTCATCATGGGACCCTGTGCAAGTCTTTAGCCTTCTTTCTATTGGTGTCACTTAATAAACAGACTTGGAAGTTCAAACCCAGGCAAAAGTAACCAAAAATGTTTTTGAAGAAGCAATAAGGGAGATAAGAGTTACCAGATTTTAAGATAGAGCATAGAGTCTTTAAAGTAATGTAAGAGTAGTACAAGAACCAACATATGAATAAGTGGGAAATAACAAATAACTCAGAAACAGGCTCAAGTATAATAAAAAGCTTAATACAGAAGAAAGTAGCACAAACTAATGGCAAAGGGATACCTTTTCCAGTAAATATTGTGAGAAAAATGGCTAACTATGTAGAAACAAACCTAGATCTTTGCCTCATAACTGCAAGGTTAATGTATCTCTGATCAGGAGCTTAAGAAGAAAGAGAAAATTATTTGTACATTCTACAAAAGAATTTTAGGTTTCTGAAGCTGCAAACGGAAGACAGAAGAAGATAGAAAAGGAAGCCATAAAAAATCATAAAGAAAACTTTGATGAATTTAATAGTACAAAAATGCTAAACTAAAAATACTAGGAACAGTTAAAGAACACACAAAAATAGATAACTATATTTTGTAACATAACAAAAAAGCCTCATGTCCTTGTGAGTTAAGAGTCTAGGCCAGACGCAGTGGTTCATGCCTGTAATCCCAGGACTTTGGAAGGCTGAGGCAGGCGATCATGATGTTGGGAGTTCAAGACCAGGCTGACCAACATGGTGAAACCCCATCTCTACTAAAAATACAAAAATTAGCCAGGCATGGTGTTGTGCACCTGTAATCCCAGCTACTAAGGAGGCTGAGGCAGGAGAATCACTTGAACCCAAGAGATGGAGATTGCAGTCAGCCAAGATCACACCACTGGGCAACAAAGCGAGACTCTGTCAAAAAAAAAAAAAAAAGTAATAAAAATCAGTGAGAAAAAACGCTAAGGCTCAACAAAAAAAGGAGTAAAAGAAATGAACAGAACTTCACAAAAGACATATTGCAACACTGGTAAACATGAAAAATGTTAAACTCACTATTAATTCGAGAAAGTTAAATTCAAGTGTGATTTTCTACTGCACATCAAATTAGCAAAGTTTTTGTCTTATTAATATTTTTAAATATAATGCCCTCATGCAGGCAAGTGATGAAATGCTAGTGAGTGCAAATTGGTTCAACCTTACTAAAAAACAATTTGGCAGTACATATCAAGGCCCTTAAAAAATGTTCAGTCTTCTATTTCTAGTAATCTACCCTAATAAAAATATCAGAATCCTCAGACAGACTGATGCATGTTTACTACAGCATTGTTTATAATGGAAAAACAATGGGAACAACATAATACAAAAAATTAAGGGAATTATTAAATAAGTTACAAGACATTCATATTATGTGAAGTCTTAACAAAAGATGTTCTTGAATCAATTTTAAGGAAGCAAAATGAACAAGATATTAAAGGACAGACTAGGAGGTAAAATGCATACAGTATGAAGGAGATTCTATTAATGAAATGGATTTTATTGAAGAATAGTTTTTTAACTATAAAATTGCATTCAACAACATGGTCTTGATTTTCTGCTCTGCTCTCCAATGCAACTATATAGGTTGAGTGCCATCCATATTTCACCCAGCCAAAACTCCTGAAATTTTGCCAACAACATGACATTGTCATTATTGCATATAGCCCTTTGGGGACCAGTAGGAATCCATTCTGGTAAGTAAAGCTTCAGGAAGTATTTCCTTTGCCGTAGAGGGTGAGGCTTGCGGGAATTACTGTACTTCAGGCTTCCCCAAACTTTTTACACAGGGGGCTAGTTCACTGTCCCTCAGACCGTTGGAGGGCCACCACATACTGTGCTCCTCTCACTGACCACCAATGAAAGAGGTGCCCCTTCCTGAAGTGCAGCGGGGGGGCTGGATAAATGGCCTCAGGAGGCCGCACGCGGCCGGCCCTCGGGGCGTAGTTTGGGGACACCTGCTGTACTTGATTGGAATGCCTTTCGGTTTGCCTCTGCAACCTCTTCAAGTCACTATCTGTATATATGAATTAGAGCTTTTCATACTTTCCTCACTGAGATGTTTTAAGATCGATTACATTATAGGTATGAAACTGCCTATCAGTACCTGCTATATAGGACTGGTCAGTAAATGTTAGTTTAATTATTATTTGACACAGGAGCTTCTATGGCCATGTGTGGCAAATTTTGAATTTTTTTTGATCTCTGTATTCAGTAGTGATACTTCTCCTACGACATGTTCCATAAACTTAAGTAAAAATTTTTCTGCTCTAAGATGATTCCAAAAGTTGTCTCTCTATTTCTTCCACTTCAGTCTTCCTGCCTTTCCCTATTAGCCAGCTCTCTCTGTAAGACTCATCAAAAAATATTATTTACCCTCTGAAGGAGACAGCTCCATAAACTTGCCTCTTTTGATCTTCCCATGCTAAGAGTAACTCTCCATTCAATGCATACTCTGCACTCAAAGAAACTGGTTACAGGTGACCTGCAGTGTTGGGGTAGGTGACTGGGTGAATGGGAAGACAGAGGAGGAGGGTGGCTGATTCACCTTTGGTTCTCATTGAGCAAACTAATTATGATTCATGTTTTGATATTTGTAAGGGTGGATGTTTCTATTCCTCCTTTGTTAAAGGATACACTTCTAAACTCACTGGGGGAAAAGTACAATAAGACAGCAGCTCAAATTGTTTTGCGTTTTAACATCCAACGAGGGGTGGTTGTCATTCCTAAAAGCTTCAATCCCGAAAGGATCAAAGAAAATTTTCAGGTAAGAGCATTGTTTTTGGAAATGTGAAAAGATGGATATGTTTGCTATGTTTGCTTTTATAGAATGTTATGTTCAGCTTGACAAGAAATTTGTAATACTCTCACATTTTATTTTATACCAGCTTTTTGACCTGTGTAGCCCGTAACTAGGTTTAACTTTCACTGAATTTCAGACAACTGCTAGTACTTCAGAGACTGCTTTCCTACTTGTACACTATCCAGTTCCCTCATATTTTCTTTGTCCTTATCTATTTTTTATTTCTTTAAAAAAATTTTTTTGTAGAGACAGGGTCTCGCTATGTTGCCCAGGCTGGTCTGGAACTCCTGGCTTCAAGCAATCCTTCAACCTTGACCTCCCAAAGTTCTGGGAAGATAGGGGTGAGCCACTGTACCCAGCCTCTTCCCTTATCTGTTGGCTCTTGGCACTGCCTACTAACTTCTCTACCCACACAACAGAATTGAGAGTGAATAAAACTTGGAATTCATAATAGTCAAACTTCCACCTTCTTAATGGCTCTGGTAAAAGTTGAGGACAAATTTGAAAATTATTGAAGAGGACCATTTAGACTTTATGAATGCTAAGTGCCTTTATTTCCCTCTACAAGTGATCTATGACCTACATTGTAATTTCCAGATGAAGAAATAACTAGACAAAGGGGGAATTCATTTATTCTGCTACTACCAAAGACTAAACAGCTAGGCAAATACACCCATAGAAAAGTACCATATAAAATCAATTACCCATTAGTTAATACTTTATATTTCAAAAGTAAATTGTTTAGCCTTACTCATAATTAAAGATAAATAAAAAATAAGATACTAGTTGTCCCTTCGTATCAGAAAATAATCAAAATACTTGATAATATCTGTGGAAATAGTATATGAAAATATACTATTATTAGAAACATTAATTGGTATGAAATTTCGAAGAATAAGGTATCATTATTTCACATTCATCAAAATTCAAATGTACATATTACATGATTGATTCATATGTGGAATCTAAAAACGTTAATCACACGAAAGTAGAGAGTACAATAGTGGTTACCAGAGGCTGAGGTGATTGAAAAATACAAAATATTAGCCAGGCCTGGTGGCACATGCCTGTGGTCCCAGCTACTTGGGAGACTGAGACAGGAGAATCGCTTGAATCCCGGAGGTGGAGGTTGCAGTGAGCTGAGATTGCTCCACTGCACTCCAGCCTGGGCGACTCCATTTCAAAAAAAAAAAGAAGAAGAAGAAGAAAAGAAAAGAAAAAAGGAATAAATGTCAAGAGATCTATTGTACAACAAGGTGTCTATAGTTGATGATGATATAGTGTATTCTTGATATATAAATATAAAGAGAGTTCATGTTATGTGCTCTTCCCACAAAAATAACTATATGAGGTAATGTAGTTGTTAATTAGCTAGATTTAACCACTCCACAATTTATAGATATGTCAAAATATCACGTTTTATAGGATAAAAACATACCATGTTATCTGTCAAATAAATTCAAATACACATATCCATTGACTCAGCAATCTTATCCTATAGATGTATTTGCACATATATACATGTATCCACATACACACAGAAACACACAGATGTTTATTATAGAATTATTTTTATAATTTTTTAAAAACTCAAAACTATCTTCAACCAGACTTTATAAAACAAGCTATGACATTCATACATTGAAATATTATGTAGCCATTTAGAAATACAAGTACTAGCATAGGAAGGTATCCATAATATTAGACAATTACATCTTCATACCTTTTTTGCTACATGAGAGAATGCAGCTCAAACTTTAGCAAAGAGAAAAAAGATAATTTATTGGCTCACATAACCAGAAAGTCCACAGATAGATCAGAAATGGCTAGACACAGGTACTCAAATGATTTACAGAGATATTTAGTTCGTTTTCTCTCTCTCTCTCTCTCTCTCCCCCCCCCCCCCACACACACACACACACCTTTCTCCTTTCTCTCCACCCATGTGGTGGCACAGACAATTCCTAACAGCTCCAGGATAATCAATTACTCATATTCAGTGAAGAGTGAAGGTGATCAGACACAAAGGCTTCTCTCAGGGTCTCTACCAATCCCTGATTAGCTCTTTGTGAGTCATCCTCTGATTAGCCCCCTGGGCTACATCCCTACTCTGGTGCTGAAGGAGGTAACAGGGAGCTCCATTGGAAGAGGGAAGGAAAGTTCACACACACACACACACACACACACACACACACACACACACACACAAAGGGAGGAAAAGATGCTGAACAGTTACGTCAACTCCTGACAATGCTTTAACATTTGCCAAAATGCCTCATACTAAAAAGTGACTGACACCCTTTTCCACAATCTTAAAAGAGAAAGAGATCAACTGCATGCCTAATGTGTAGGTTCACTGAAGACTAAAACAAGTTTTAATGCACTTTTCAGGGACTGAAAAGTTTGCTGTTCAAAAATTACGAGAGAGTGTTACAAGTGACCTTTGCAATGGAAGGCATTTGAACTTTATGGCATGTAGCCAGTGATGATTTTGTACCAGAGAAAATGCCACTCTCCTTGAAATTTTCATTGTAACTAATTCTGTTACATTCCATATGTTTCCATAGCCTTGATAAGAACAGAATGGATCTCAGAGGTTACATATTCCAAGAAAATATAAAAGGGACATAGATTTAGAAGGAAAATGAGAATGAAAATCACGGCCAATTCTCACTCTTTTGGGAATAGATTTACTCAATAACCATGAATTTTGCTGGATATGAAACCAAGAAGCAACAAAATTAAAAATTATGCTCCCTTAGAATGAAGGCAAAATAAACTATTAAAAATATTTTAAAAGAATGGTAAAGAGCAATAAAACATAAAGAATAAAGGGAAAAATATTTTGATGATAAAAGAACAAAAAAATATATATGTAATAAAAAGTTAAGACTGGGCACAGTGGTTCATGCCTGTAATCCCAGCACTTTGGGAGGCCAAGGCAGGAGGATCGCTTGAAGCCAGGAGTTTGAGACCAGCTTGGCAACAAAGCAAGATCCCATTGTTTTAAAACGAAAAAAAAAAAAAAAAATTAAGGTAAACCATAAGTTTAGGCTGGGCATGGTGGCTTAGGCCTGTAATCCCAGCGCTTTGGGAGGCCAAGGTAGGTGGATCACCTGAGGTCTGGAGTTTGAGATCAGCCTGGCCAACATAGCAAAACCCCATCACTACTAAAAATACAAAAATTAGCCAGGCATGGTCGTGGGCGCCTGTAATCCCAGCTACTCAGGAGGCTGAGGCAGGAGAATTACTTGAACATGGGAGGCAGAGGTTGCAGTGAGCCAAGATCATGCCGTTGCACTCCAGCCTGGATGATAAGAGCGAACCTCTGTCTCAAAACAAACAAACAAAAACCATGAGTTTAAAAACTAGATAAAACTAATGGTAGAAATGAAGAAAACTAATATGGAGCCAGAATATTTTAAAAGTTAAAATTAAAAATGTATGTATGAAATTATACCAGGTGCGGTCCAGCTTTGTTACCATCATTTTTGTTACCTACACTGTGTTGAGAATAATAGTAGATTAGAGATCATTTTTGTTACCATCATTCATTGTCCTCCATTCTTTGAAGATGTTATCTCTGGGCTGACTTTCACTTTCTCTAACACTCTTCTTCTCGTAATTCTCTGTGAATTCGACATCCACACGAGTCATTCTGTGCCCTTACCTGACAGCTCTTTGACTTCCTCTCCCATAAGAATCTTGTCCTATGTATTTGAACCATTCATTCCCATGGCTATCCCTTGGAAATTGCAATGACAAATGCCTAACAAATCCTCCATAGCCTCAACTTCAAACATCTTCCTTTCTTTCCTACACTAGCCATTCTTCCTCTCTACTGTGTAACTCCCACCAGCACACACATAGGTAATAACCTCCTATCTTAAAAAATAAAATCCAATCTAGACTCACTTTCCTCTCTATTATCCACTTCTCTCTTTCTGTTTCAAACATCTTGAAAGAGAAGTTATTCCTGATGCTTTGCATTCTCTTCCCCCACTATCCAGTGAACCCATTCAAACCAAACTCTCACCCTGACCATCCACTGGAACAGCCCTTGGCAAACTCACCAGTGACCTCCACATTGCTAGATCCTGTAATTCTGAGTCCTTGTCCCACTCGATCATTCTACCACATCTGATACAGTTGACATTCTCTCCTTCTTCAGACATTTACCGAAATGGAAAACTGTAGGAGAAGCAGTTTGAGAGGGACCCTCAGGAGCTCGGTTTTGTAATATGAGATCCTTATTCACTTAGGATAATGTGTACAGTGGGAGAAAAAAAAAAAAAAGACCACTGAAAATCAATCCACATAAAACAAGAAAAAAAAATTACATAGAAATAATGTACAGAGGATGAATTTGGAAGCTTATATTAAGATTGAAACCAAAGTTTATGAAAGTAAGTTTACTATTATTCTCAACACAATGTAGGTTACAATTGCATGTTTACTAACTCAGAAGAAACAGTGAATCTGTGTTGATTTTTTAAAATATGCTTCACAAAATTACATGACAACACAACAGGACATCCTCTATTTCACAAAAGATTTGCAGAATGTCCATAAAGAGAACAATTCTTACAAAAATTTTGGAGGGCTTCATCTGAAGGAGATTTTTAATTCTTTAATGTTTTCAAGTCATGCTCTTTTGATATGTCTATCAAAGTAGATTTTAACTGTGCAGGATTCTTTTTTTAAAAAGATCATACCTATAATTAGAACAAATCATATTTTTCTAAGATCATTTTCCAAGATCATTTTCATTGATTTAATAAAATCCTGCATCTTTGCAAGATTTGCAACCTCACTTTGCCATTAGGTTACGCTATATATTTACTGGATTAGAAGCTGACCCACCAAGACTTAAAGGGCAGGACTAGCATTTAGCAAAAAGGAAGCCTCAGTAAGGATTCATTTTACAGGCAATTCATTCATTTTTGTATTGTGCAAGTTTTTGATTCCTTATGTAAACTCAAAAATGCCAATACGTAGATAATAAATCATTTTTTAAAATGGTTCTCTGAAAAGAGTACTTGGAAAGAATCCATGGAGGTATAATTAAGTAAATTGTATTCCCCCTATACAATGAATACCATGGCTAAATGAATAAAGTCAGGCTGCATATTGTGATAGAACCATCACTGAGGTCACTAAGATATTATGTGAATAAGGGAAAGTTGTAGAATCATAAAGATATGGTCCAATGACTGTATTTTCCTCTTGATGTGTGTAGTGTTTGGAAGGAATATCTGGGAAGGGAAGTAAGACTGGGATGATGAGTGACAAGACTTTCATTATTTATTCCGTGTAAGTCTATGTACTTCTACAGTGTTTCATTTCTTTGCAAAGACCATATATTTATATACTACTTATATAATTAAAATCTATTAGTCATTAAATATGTTAAAATAAAAGTTAAAGGATAGAAAGATAAAATAGTAAAGAGAAGATAGGTTATATACCAATAACCCAAATGTTAAAAATAAAAGGAAGTGAAAATAAAATATATAAATGATAATAAAAGACAATTATAAACCAGAATATTAATAAAGTATGAAAGCTAAGAAAAATAAAACAATGAAAATTAGAATAAAAAGGTAGAAGAGACATCAAAATGATGAGAGAAATCATTTCAACATAGCAAATTAAAAGTTAAAAACAAAACAAATTAAAATTTTTTAAAAAAGCAAATTAGGCTGGGTGCAGTGGCTCATGCCTATAATTGAAGCACTTTCGGAGGCCAAGGTGGGAGGATCACTTGAGCTCAGGAGTTTGAGACCAGCCTGGGCAACATGGTAAAACCCCATCTCTACAAAAAATACAAAAATTAGCTGGGCATGGTGGCAGGTGCCTGCAGTCCCAACTAGTTGGGAAACTGAGGCACAAGAACAGCTTAAACCCAGGAGGTGGAGGTTTCAGTGAGCCAAGATGGTGCCACTGTACTCCAGCCTGGGTGACAGAATGAGACCCTGTCTCAAAAAAAAAAAAAAAAAAAAAAGCATATCTAGAAACTCAGAATTTTCTAAGGGTAAGATAGTAGTTCAGAATCAAAAGCTAAGCATCTCATACAGAAATAAGAATTCTTCACATTTGAGATTTTAGGAGATTTCATTAACATTTGTGGTTTCAGAGCATTTGGAATTTCTTGTAAGATGTCCCCAGAAAGATGATCTTGAAGACAAAGGGCAGAACAGAGTAACCAGCATCACATTAGTGGGCAGCCCCCCAACACCAGCCTGACTCCTCTTAGACATTTGCAGATAGTCATGCATCTTTGAAAGGCTCCCACTGGTGGCCCCACTTTCTGATCCCAAGCTTGACCTCCAAAAATGTTCTATTATTTCCATGACTTCAGATCTTTGACTTCTCTCTCACTGAAGAAGAAATGAAGGATATTGAAGCCTTGAATAAAAATGTCCGCTTTGTACAATTGCTCATGTAAGTCTGGGGATCATTAATGGGGTACTGGCCTGTAGTATTGAATAGTCATGTGTCAAGCAACAAGATTCATATAAAGCCTGACCTATGTCCATAGCACCAAGACAAGGCATGGTGGGCCACATGTTCTGAATGTTAACAGGCCTGGGGGAAATACATCCACTACAGGACCTTCCACTACTCTACACTCTCACCGAAAAGAAGAGTCCTGGCATGTGTGGCATTCTATGACTTAGGTTAAGGCATACAGGCTAAAGAACCTGAGGAGAATTAATTCATTACATACATATGCTAAAACAACAGCAGCACAAATGTCGAAACTTATTTATTTATTCCTAAATATCAAAGTGATGCACAAATTAGAGCAAAGTTATTTTGTAAAATTTTTGAAAAAGAGGCATGATGATGTTGTAAAAAGAGCACCAGGTTGAAAACCAAGAACCGGCCGGGCGCAGTGGCTCATGCCTCTAATCCCAGCACTTTGGGAGGCTGAGGCAGGCAGATCATGAGGTTAGGAGTTCGAGACCAGCCTGGCCAACATGGTGAAACCCTGTCTCTACTAAAAATACAAAAATTACCTGGGTGTGGCGGCACACACCTGTAGTCCCAGCTACTCAGGAGGCTGAGGCAGAAGAGTTGCATGAATCCGGGAGGTGGAGGTTGCAGTCAACTGAGATCACACCACTGCACTCCAGCCTGGGCGACAGTGCAAGATTTCATTTCAAAAAAAAAAAAAAAAAAAAGAAAGAAAGAAAGAAAGAAAGAAAACCAAGAACCTAGTTTTAGACAAACACTTTCTTGCCTATAAGATTTTTGTTTCTAGCTCTACCTATTAGCTCTAGTCCCACAAGCAAAATTCCATATACTCCTTTAAAATCTCAGGTTCAGCTAACCAACTGAAGTAGCTCTTTATTCTCTATTACGGGCCCTTTAAAAAAGAATATCGTTTCTATATATGTGTGTACAGATCTACACACACATACATATATATACTCACATACGCACACATATGAATGTCTTTCTTCTTAATCATTCTCTATTAATCTTTCCAGTTCTTCAAGTCACCTGAATAGTCATCTTCATCTTGAATCTTTAAGTGAGCATTCAGAAAATCCTAAAATGATTCATATAGTTTGGATACTTACTTTATTAATCTCACTGCTTTTCATCAGAAAGTATACTGACTGGACTATTACTGAATTTCTGAATTAATAAAACAACTTCCTAGTGGAAAATTTCCAGGTGGGAAATTGACATCAAAAGGCACCACCCAGCCTCAAGAACAAAAGAGTAGCAAAAGAGTAAACACAAACACATAAATAATATTTTCCCAGAACTAACAGTTACAGGCTTATTAATAGCTCTTGAAGATAAATGATGTCTATTGAATCAATCGTATATGGTTAAGAAGAGAAGCCAGGTGCAGTGTCTCATACCTGTAATATCAGCACTCTGGGAGGCTAAGAGAGGAGAATCACTTGAGGCCAGAAGTTCAACACCAGCCTGGACAACATAGCAAGACCCCATCTCTGTAAAAAATTTTAAAAATAAGCTATCGTGGTGCCACACACCTGCAGTCCTAGCTACTCAGGAGGCTGAGGTGAGAGGGTCACTTGAGCCCAAGACTTTCAGTGAACTATGACCATACTCTAGCCTGGTAAACAGAGTGAGGCCCTGTCTCTCAAAAACAACAACAACAAAAAACCACCATATAATCAATCCACCAATGTACTAATTGTTTTATAGACAGTTGGTGACATTATTCAGTTTGACATTTGACATATTTAAAAGCAATTCTAGCAACATAGGGAAAAAAATAACTCTTACCAGGAAATAACTAGAAAAATCTGCAGGGCGAAACAAAAATTAGGCCCCATTAATCGCAAATGCTGTATCATATAGGGATACTTGGTCATGATTTTTTATCAGCTTTTTGTTCAGTTGGTTTTTTACATTTGAGAATCTTAGTATTTTCCATTTTCATTTACAGTGCATGCAGAAAACTAAACCAGGAACACACACATTCCAGACATTTTACAGACCATTTTACCTTTGTTATTTAAGCGCTAAATTCACTGCCATCATCATTATCATCATCATCATCAAGGAAACTTATTTTGCTACTCATCACCTTTCTAGATCTCAAACTTTCAACACACAGGAGGTTCTAGTGAGAGGGGCAAGTAAAAATGCTGATAAGGCTGGGTGTGGTTGCCCACACCTGTAGTCCTAGCACTTTGGGAGGCCATGGCAGGAAGACTGCTTCAGCCCAGGAGTTCAGACCAGCCTGGGCAACCGTGATGGCACATACTCATAGTCCCAGCTACCTGGAGGTTGAGGCAGGAGGATTGCTTGAGCCCAGCAGTTTGAGGCTGCAGTGAGCTATGATCATGCTACAGCACTCCAGCCTGAGTGACAGAGCAAGACCCCATCTGTTTAAAAAAAAAAAATGCTGATCAGCAGAGGGTGACACTGGTAATAAGAGTTTCACAGAGAAATGCCTATGTAGTACGTTGGAGAAACAGGCAGCCAGTGTCAAAGGAGCGGAAAGGGGGAGGGAGAAGGGAAGAGGCACGTGCCTAAGATATGAGTCACCTCTGGGGATTCTGTTCTGTTGATGTGGTGGCCGCCAACCTTCCCTCAACACACACATCCAGGGGGCTGTCCAGAGCTTCAGGAAAAGGTGCTGGCTAGAGGAAAAACAACAGAGGGGAGTAGGTAAGAAACAGTAGAGGAATGAATAGGAGAGGGGAAGTGGTCAGTGAAATTCTCAAAAGATGCTAGCGACATATACAGCTGTGCAATTTTGGAGTGAACTTTCTTCTGTGGGGGAATTGTTTTGGCAGGTGGCGCGATCATCCTGAATACCCATTTCATGAGGAATACTGACTGCAGGGAGTTCCTGAACAGATTTTTCTCTCCCACGAGTGCCAAGACTGTGGGATGGGTAGTCCCCCAGATGTGAAAATGAAAGGGGTTTTACCATCCTGAGGTGAAATAATGATGGAAATGTGTTTAACGTTTGTGTCGTGTCAGTGACTTTGAACTAGTCACATTGAAGTAAAAATATTAAAATCTATTGAAATAACTCTTAGGAAATTATCAACTAATTTGTTTTTAGATCAATATCTTCTACGTTCCAGACAGAAAACAATTAGACTTCAGAAAAGACATCAAAGGCAACGTATGAGAACATGGAACTCATGAACCTGGGTAGTACCACTGGTAATCTGAGTTCTTTAAGAGTTAACAGAACAACAAGGTACACGTGGCAGTGTGCTGGCAGTGGCCTTGAGGCTTTGGATCGTTAGTTATAAAACAGAAACAGCCAAGATTAGATCCGCACATGCATTATTAACAAGGAAGTGATTTGCACCACCTTGAGTAGAGAGGTCTACCTGGAGAAAAATCTTCAAACAGAGCTAAACACCACAGTGGTCAACAAAGCCATCATGACGTTGTTTCTTTCCACCCATTGTATGTTTGTTTAGCTTTTATCCAGCTTGAAGAATGAAAACTTAAGTGGATCTCTCTTGCATCCTTAAAGGGCCTGAGCGTCAACACGGCTGGTGATGCATACTTACACATCTTACGATCAATCTTACCTACGTTGATTATAAAACCTCTATTATGTGAAAAGGCTTGAAACATCCAACAGACACAAATAAAACCCTGCCTTGTAAAATAGTTCTCAGATGGCTATTTTAAAAGAGGGATTTAAAAAGGAAACCTTGGGAAATATATTGAAAGAAGGTGCTTTATATGATTATTGTACTTAAGACTTTGACAGTGTTACTGGGATAGCTTCTATAAATTTTGAGAAAGTAGCAAGTTCAAAAGAACACTGGTAATTTTACTGTATGTCCAGTTTAAAGAGTGAATTAGATTACTAGAATTCAGAAATAGAGACATATCTATTTTCAATTCAACTACAGAAATATATTTTAGTCATTCACATTAGGTCATTGTCATAGGATAAGACAATTCTTCAAAAATTATGTTTTCCTGAGATCAGTTGCTTATAGATAATGTTCAGTGACATCAAGACATGCATTTCTGAGAAATTATCACTTTTGAAAATTTGATTTATACTGATTGTTTTCACTGATTCCAACATTATTATTTACAACACTGCCCTCTAGAAAATATTTTGTTCACAGGAAACAATAAAGTATAATGATTTGTTGCATCATATGAATCTCCATTCTCTTTCTAAGTTGGGGGAGGGGAACAATCATCTGAAGCCAATTAAATTAAAAGGCCTTTGATTTAATTCCTGCTGTGCATTTGGCACTGGGAAGAGAGGAAAGAAAAGGGGGTGCCACTAGGCATGGTGGCTCATGCCTGTAATCCCAGAAATTTGAGAGGCCAAGGCAGGTAGATCACATGGGCCCAGGACTAGCCTAGGCAACATGGCAAACCCCATCTCTACCAAAAAAATACCAAAAGTAGCCAGGAGTGGTGGCACATACCTGTAGTTCCAGCTATTCAGGAGGCTGATGTGGGAGGATGACTTGAGTTGGGGAGGCAGAGGTTGCAGTGAGCCAAGATTGTGCCACTGCACTCGATCCTAGGTGACAGAGTGAGAGTCTGTCTCAAGGAAGAAAGGAAGGAAGGAAGGGAAGGAAGGAGGGAGAGACAGAGGGAGGGAGGAGGGAAGAGAGGGAGGAGAAAGAAAGAAAGAAAAGAAAGAAAGAAAGAGCAAGAAAAAGACAGAAAAGAAAGAAGAAAGAAAGAAAACAGGGAGAAGAAAAGGGGGTACCATTATAAAAGAGCAGAAACTTGAGTCCTGGTCTCTGTTGTCAAAGCCCTTCAAAATGCTTTGAGGGGATTAGGGTAGAGATGAAAATGGAAACAACATCGATCAAAGCATTGTTAAAAGACAAGCATTGGTAAAAAGTCCCACCATTTGTCAGCAAAAAGGTATTTCTAAAAACTGGAGGAGAGCAATCCTTTCTTAGTCATAACAGAGATGGAGGGAAAAAATCTGGAGACAGAAAGTAGGAAGGTCAGGAAAGGAGAAGTCTGAGGGAAGTTTCTACATGTTCCTTCTCTCTCACTGTCACCCCTCTCAAGCTTCCTGTCTGTTATGGGTTGAACTGTGTCCTCTCAAAATTCATATGTTAAAGCCCAGCTTCCATGACCTCAGAATGTGATCCTATATAAAAATAGGGCCAGGTGTGGTGGCTCGTGCCTGTGATCTCAGCTATTTGGGAGGCTAAGGTGTAAGGATTTCTTGAGGCCAGGAGTTCAAGCTCACCCTCTTCAATAGAGACCTCACCTTTACAAAAATTTTTAAATTAGCTGGATATGGTTGTGCACACATGGAGTCTCAGCTAGTAGGGTGGCTGAGGCAGGAGGACTGCTTGAGCCCAGGAGTTTGAGGCTGCAGTGAGCTGTGATCATGCCACTGTACTTTAGGTTGAGTGACAAAGCAAGACCTCATCTCTTAAAAATAAATAAAATAGCATCGCCGCATATGTAATTAATTAAGATGAGATCATACTGGGGTAGGGTGGAGTAGGGTGAACCCTAAACCAGTAAGACTGTGTCCTCATGAAAAACGGAAATTTGGACACAGAAAACACACAGGATGAACGCCAGAGGAAGATGGAAACGGAGGTAAGGGTGGTGCTTCTACAAGGTAAGAAATGCCAAAGGTTGCCTACAACCACAAGAAACTAGGCAAAAGGCATGCAACAGGTTTCCCCTCAGCCCAGAAGGAATCAACATTGCCAATACCTCAATCTCAGACTTCTAGCCTTCAGGACTGTGAAACACTACAGTTCTGTTCTTTAAGCGACCCGGTTTGTGGAACTTAGTTATATCAGTTTTACAAACAAATACACCACGCCTCCGGAAAGATTTCCTGTCTCTCTAGCTAACATCGGCTGTAAAAATGTCCTTACCAAGTCAATACTAAGTATTGACAACCAATAATCTTGACCTTTTGGGGACTTTTGCAACCCGAAAGAGGTATTTGTTAACCCAGATCGATTTTTCTCGTCAGTGGCCTCTGATCAGCCATGTAGAAAGATCCATCAATAGTGATGCAACCTGCCTGAAAAAGGAGGGGAGACCTACGGCATATCATGCACCCTTTGGAACATACCGATCCACAGAAACATACCCGGCTGGAGTGGCAAGGCCATCCTGCCCCAGTGCACGGAATGTTTCTGCGTCTGCAGTGTTTTTTGATAAGAATATTTCTTGATATTTTTGTAGTTCATGAGCATAATGACTGGGTGTTCATGTGCATGTGTGAGATGTGCCGCCCTCAAACCTTGTTACGACATCAGCACATGACCCATATGACATGAAAAAAGATGTTCCATATCCCTGACAGTTCTCTGGGAGGACCTCCTTCAGGCACTGTCGTCCCATCCACAGTGAAGCACACAGCACCAGGAGGGGGCATTGGAGTGGCACAGGCAATGATCCCGTGTCTTCAGCCTTCAACATGATGAGGTATGTGCATTCCAAGGCCACAGTCACAGAGATTGACAAAGTTGAACAAACTCATATTTCCAAGACTTGGTATTTCTCAGAACTCTCAAAATTTCAGGCTTCTGCTGATAATTTCAATATCTGCTTCTTGAATCAGAATCCTTCCTGAATCTGAATGGTAGCCTTAATGTTTCTGGCTCCACACATGAAGTCTCCAAATTCTCACTTTGGCTTCTTCCACTCTAGTCTCTGCCTCCCATTCATGAAAAACAGGATTAGAGGGTCATGCCCAACTAATAGGCTTACTCTCTCACCTAAGGGGCATTTTGGTAAAAGGCTTTTACTGGTGGATCATATCTCTTCTGGCAGGTCTTATGTCCCTTGGCATCGGTGTTCGGATTCTTCAGGACCCCAGCTTGAGCTCAGGCTGCACTCCCTGGATGTACTAACTACCTAGCTTGGGGCAAGATTCTCCTTTTTGCCAGGGCACATGCTTGCCTGATTTAGCTCAAAGCAGATCACACTTTCTTAATCAGGCCATATTCTCTTCCCTCTGTGCCTTCTGCACTCCAAGCTTGAACCCAAACTTGGTTCCTTTATGAATAATTTCACTGAAGGCCACAGGAAACATCCAGCACAATCTTCCAACCCAGCACCAAAGCCTGAGGCTTGGCAGGCACATGGTCCAAGTTTCAAAACGTAAGTTAAACTTTAAGTGAATCTGGTGAATGGGCAGGAGCTCTGGTCTGGTGGGGAGTGCTGGGGGTGCTGGGGAGAAAAGGAAGGGGCAGGGGTCTGGGAGGAAGCCTCCTGTCTGTTTTTTATTAATAGTTGCTTGTCGGCCGGGCGTGGTGGCTCAAGCCTGTAATCCCAGCACTTTGGGAGGCCAGAGATCGAGACCACCGTGGTCAACATGGTGAAACCCCGTCTCTACTAAAAACACAAAAAATTAGCTGAGCATGGTGGCGCATGCCTGTAATTCCAGCTACTCAGGAGGCTGAGGCAGGAGAATTGCCTGAACCCAGGAGGCGGAGGTTGCGGTGAGCCGAGATCGCGCCATTGCACTCCAGCCTGGGTAACAAGAGGGAAACTCCGTCTCAAAAACAAAAAACAAAAATAGTTGCTAGTCTTCCTTTTGCTCTCTGGTTTCTCATCACTCCAGCCAGCAGAGACCAGCCCAGGATGAAGTCTGGGCAGTAGCCTGGGCTTTGGTACCACAGGGGCCCACGTGCGCCAGGGAAGCGCAGAGGTCCCAGCGTGTGAGCAGGAGGCCCAAGCGACAGCTCCAGTGGGCCCTGGCGAGGTCAAGGGCACAGCGCCAGTGGCTGCATATGTGAACAAGGTGCGCGGCGGCGCACAGTGGTTGCGGAGCCTGAGCACACCAAGGAGTGCGTCAGACTTCCAGGGTCAGAGTGCAAGGGGGCAGCTTTTGATTTGGGGGGCAACGAACTAGGACTTGATGGGCCGAAAGGAAGTGTCTAAACAGCAAGCTGCTTACTGCAATCTCCATCAGAATTTGTGGGGCGGATAGCGGTCCGGGGTTTGTGTGCTGCGCACAGTACCCTCATCACCACACAAGGGAAGCTGTGGAGCTGGGGTCAGAATGAGAAGGAGCAGCTGGGACCCGGCGACACCAAGAGAATGGAG